CTATCATTATTGTCATCATCACCCCCTCCCCTCACCCCCCTCCCCACCGCCGCCTCCGTCGCCCCAAAAACGAGACAGACAGCAAGGACATTTGACAGTGTAGCCAGCTCCCGCCCTCTGCTCGCCCGCTCGTAGGTGTTGGTAACTGTGTCGGTGTTGTGTCCGCAGGTTCCCCGGTGTGTGGGCGTCCTCATGCCGCCCGCGCCGCCGCCCGCGCTGCCGCCCGTAGGGTCTCCATCCGTTCCCGAACCCACCCTGTGTGCCCTAGCATGACCTCCGCTCTCAGCCCGGCCGCCAAGGTCACCAAGGTTGACCCTGTGTGAAAAGACTTCAGGGCCACTGACCTTCTTGCCGTTGACCTTCGCTCTCTTCTTTCCACTATTCTTGCCTCGTCTTTCATTTCCTATTCAATTCTACTTTCTTCTTCCTCCCTCTTCCTGGCTCTCTCTCTTACTGTCTGTTTGCCTCTTTCTCCTTTTCTTTCTAATTTCTGTCCTCTCTCGATATTTACTTTGGTGCTTATTTTTTATTCTATTTATTCAAATTTCCTCTTATATATGTCATCCTTTTCTCCTTCGTCAATAAAATCTTTTCTTTTTCCCGCTGGGAGATTGACTCCAAAAACGACTCACACTATTGTCTGTTAATGGGCTTCTGTGTCATTGACCTAACATGCAAGTGACCTTGAATGCCAGTGACCTCCTCTCTCACTTGCCCTCGTTTTACCTTGATATATATTATTATCATGTCAGTGACCCTTATGTAACTATTCTATCTTTTAGCTTTTGACCTTTGACCTTCTATCTCAGTTGACCTTATGTCACTGACGTTAGCAACTGCGTTTTATCACATTGTGACCTGATTCCTGTCCTGTTAAGTGAGATGATATTTTTCAGACTGAGATACAGAAATGTGAACTATGCTGATTTTCTTGGCCGGTTTGTTATTATGTGAGCCAATTATACGGACATGCATATAAAATGGTATAAATTCATATCTGTCAGTCTAGACATACATATCTATCGTATAGATACACAGATGAATGTATATATATCTGATAGACAAACATGCATTTATTTGTGTGTATACGTATGCCTGTAAATACGAATATTCATTGGGTTCTAACAAGGCGGGCGAAGGACTTGCATATACACAGAAAAAATATCTATCAGTCAAGACACGCCCATCTACCTGATAGATAAATTGATCAAAGTATGTCTATCAGATAGATAGACAGACATGCATTCATTTCTGTAGATATCCATGTCCGTATGGATGACTGTTCATTGGGTCGGACCTCGCACAATTTTAACAAACTGCCCGTCTGTCTCTGTCCGTGTATCTTTGTGTTTTTCTGTCTGCCAGTCTGTTTCTCTCCCTCTTTCTTTCTTTCTCTCTCTCTCTCTCTCTCTCTCTCTCTCTCTCTCTCTCTCTCTCTCTCTCTCTCTCTCTCTCTCTCTCTCTCTCTCTCTCTCTCTCTCTCTCTCTCTCTCTCTCTCTCTCTCTCTCTCTCTCTCTCCTCTCTCTCTCTCTCTCTCTCTCTCTCTCTCTCTCTCTCTCTCTCTCTCTCTCTCTCTCTCTATCTCCCTCCTTCTCTCTCTCTCTCCTTCTCTCCTGCCTCACTCCCTATCTCCCTCCCTCACTCCCTATCTCCCTCCCTCACTCCCTCCCTCCCTACTCCCTATCTCCCTCCCTCACTCCCTATCCCTCCCTCACTCCCTCCCTCCCTCACTCCCTATCTCCCTCCCTCACTCCCTATTTCCCTCCCTCACTCCTATCTCCTTCCCTCCGTCCACCATTCCTCCACCCCTCCTCCACCCCCTCCCTCCACCCCCCTCTCCCTCAACCAGAATCCAGGCTAATCATGTAAAGGTTTCTGTTGACGCTTCTCCCGTGTTTGTTTCTCTCTGCTCACCCAGGCTTGGAACGGCATCGACTGTGCATGGCATACGTGTTTGGCCTTTTTTGGGGGATAGATTTTTTTGAAGGGGGGGGGAGGCTGTTTATATTTCCTCTTTTGACTTGTTATAGACTTGATTTGAAAGGAAAAGGTCGATTATAGAGATTTTGAATTTTTGTTTCCCGGTTATGGTTTTTTTTTTCAAAATATTCTAAATGTTTGGTGCATTAAAATGATATATTGTGTTTGTTCTCTCTTTGATTTTCTTTTTTTACTTATGTTTTCCGTCTGTCTTCCTTCAAGTTTCTGATATGTTGATATTGAATTTTATTTCTGTATATCTTTTTTGTATTAAAATCAAGATCGTTTTCTTTGCCTTTTATGATTTACTTTCATTACCTTTTCACAAAGATATATAAATGGATATTCACACATAAACGGACATAAACGAAAATGCAGAAGTACGAGTGTGTGTCTGTATATATAAATATGTTTATTTGTATATATACATATATATACATATTAATGTGTATATATCTACACACACACAACACACACACACACACACACACACACACACACACACACACACACACACACACACACACACACACACACACACACACACATATATATATATATATATATATATATATATATATATATATACATATATATACATATAATATATATACATATATATATATATATATATATATATATATATATTATATATATATATATATATATATCATATATAATATATTATATATATATATATATATATATATATATATATATATATATATTATATATATATAATCATATAGGCACAAATAAAAATATCACTGTACATTAGCAAGACAGCGCGTGCACATATGCATGCACGACCATGCACACACAAACACGCACGCACAAACTAACACGCAAACACACATCCATCAACACGCCTAAACGTTTCCAATACCTATGCAACTCAGCAACTCACTTCCTTTGTGTTAATGTTTTCCTTTTGCTCCAATAGAATTCTAAATCCTGCAAGTTCTTTCACTGCAAGCAAATCCCTTAAAGCACAGCCATATATATGTATTGGTACGGCCGTCGCCAGTGTAAGTACTGTAGTAGTACTGAGTGAAAGAATGCCACGCTTTCCTGAGACGAAGGGAAATGTCGAGTAAAATAAAATCGCGTGGTAAGTATGGAAGATCTAGGTAAGTATAGGCTGATTCCGTTTTCTGTCATATATTTCCCGTTTTCTATGGACCATTCATTTATTCATTTTGTTTTCTTTACATCCAGGGATTGTTATATCCAATCATTTATTCATTTATTTATTTGAGATCTGATTTGTTTTTACATCCAGGGATTGTTTTATCCAATCATTCATTCATTCATTTATTTGAGATCTGCATTTACATCTAAGGATTGATTTTATCCATTTATTCATCCATTTTCCTTCTTTCATTCTTTCATTTCGTATCCGTATTTACAATTCCCAAGGTCCCTTTTATCCATTTAATCATTTATTTTTAAGATAAACATTTGTTAGTTCATTTATCCATCCCTTCATTTTTTTTTTTTTTTTTTTTTTTTTTTTGCTGACAGCTATTGGATTGTCATCATAGTGATATGAAAAGTTCCTGACAAATCGTGATTTTTTTCTATTTATTTATTTATTTATTTTGATGATCTGCTTCACCGTCTGGAACCAAAATCAAATAAAGTTATTCGTCATTATGAACACTCATAGAAAGTGGGTACGTCATCACAAGGAATTCAAATTTTCTTTTAAAAGTTTGTGGTAAAGTTATGTATTTTAGAATCAGGTTTTCTACGTCAATCTCTTTCTTTGTCTCAAAGTCATCACTAGGAATTCCAATTGTAAAAGTTTGTGGCAAACTTCAGTATTTTAGAATCGTTTTTTTTTTTTTTTACACTAATCTCTCTTTATCTCAAACTATCTGCCTGCCTATTGCTCCTCTCTCTCTCTCTCTCTCTCTCTCTCTCTCTCTCTCTCTCTCTCTCTCTCTCTCTCTCTCTCTCTCTCTCTCTCTCTCTCTCTCTCTCTCTCTCTCTCTCTCTCTGTGTCTCTCTCTCTCTCTCTCTCTCTCTCTCTCTCTCTCTCTCTCTCTCTCTCTCTCTCTCTCTCTCTCTCTCTCTCTCTCTCTCTCTCTCTCTCTCTCTCCTCTCTCTGTCTCTCTCTCTCTCTCTCTCTCTCTCTCTCTCTCCTCTCTCTCTCTCTCCTCCTCTCTCTCTCTCTCTCCTCTCTCTCTCTCTCTCTCTCTCTCTCTCTCTCTCTCTCTCTCTCTGTCTTTGTATATACCGTGTGTGTGTGTGTAGGGATCTTTAGGCGTTTGCAAAGGTTTGCGTTCCTTAACTACTTTCTAGTTATTGTCATCTTGATCTTATGCATAAAGAGCGTCAGACTACTATCTATTTTTTGGTATTTCATCAAGATTTTCACATTTCCATTGGTCTTCGTTCAGTTTTCCCGCTACTTTCGTTCAGTTTTCGATCTTTTAGACACGACAAATCCATTATCTTCTCAGTTATCACTTCAACCACAATTTTTAAAAATTAACCGCTAATAAGATGGAATTATAGTTTTAGCAGGGAATTTGGAGAACCAGATCAATTACACTTAAAAAAATTAAAGAAAAAAAATATTTTAAGAAAGGTTTAAGAAGTGTAGGAATGTGGTTATCGTTGTTTTTCATTTTTCACTCACTTTATTTACTTCCTGAACTTAACAGCTGTCCGTACTGAAACAAGAAACAAATGAATAGAAAATCTTATACATAGTAATCACACGAGAATACAATAAAAATAAGAAAAATATATCACACATAATAAGAACAATCATCATATCAATAATAGCAATAATTGTCATAATAATAGTAGTAATGATTGTGATAGTAACAGTTATAAATGTCGTAATAACAATAATAATAATAATAATTGTCATAATAACAATAATAGTAGTTGTCATAATAACAATGAGGCTATCAATAATAGCAAAAGCCATGATACTAACAATGAATAACAATAACAATAACTAAAATCGAAGAGAAACGCAATGACCAAAGACTCCCATCCCCAG